AAAGTTCGTGAGAAACGACCCCGTATCTTGTCGTTGCTGCTTTTCACGTTGATGCCTTTTGTATTCTGAGTCTTATAGGCATGAACCAGCTCTCCCGAATCGCGCTTTTGACTTAGCACCATCGACATGGTTACTGAGCTACGCTAATTATCAGTGCTGCATGTACAGCTGTCTCTTTTCCACCCAAGGTGTGGGAAGGTGCAACAGCATAGCAGAAGCGGTGCTTCCAGCACCAAAAGAAAGAACTGAAACAAGAATTGGGCAAATGCTCTTTAACATGTAAACAAAACAAATGTTCACACATGGCTTTGTGTGCAGTCGAGTACATAAGAGAACTCTCTGCTCCAACACAGTGGAAGGCATCTGCTGAGGCAGCTCGTGCTATGACGTCTTCCTTAAGCTGGAACTTGTCAAAAGAGAGCACCACTTGTGCTGTTTTGCTCCCTTAGCCTCGCTACACGGGCTCGCCTGGCAAACACCTGGTTGATGAGTGCTGATCTTGCACTGGTCCTGCCATGGTGCTCAGGAACATGCTCGACTACTACATCTGAGAAGACACGTCGAAGACTTGCCAACCTCAAGTCCACGGGTGGTTCGGCCAGCTGGAGCGCCAGGTTGAGGACCACTGCCATGGCCACAATGCTGGACAGTGCAGTCTCCAGCTTGATGCGGAGTCCGAACTCCAGAGCGGGAAAGCGGCGCTTCCACACGCCGTACTGCCTTTCAACAGTACTGCGTGTGGGTATGTGGGCTCGGTTGTAGGCTCTCTCAGCTGGCGTCTTCGGAGCAGCAACTGGTGTGAAGAGGTACCTGCATCTGTCCACTCTCAAAGAGTGCTTCTAAAGCACTGTTGCCAACGATTGTGCTGTCATGGACCGAGCCTGGCCACCGGACCACAATGTTGCGGATGCAGAGTTGATGGTCTGACACTATCTGCACAATAATGGAAAAGTATCCTGCCCGGTTCCGATACAGTTCGGCATGATCACCTCCAGGCGACTGGATGGGGGCGTGCGTGCAGTCAATTGCTCCAACGCCTGGGAATCCTTGCATGCTGTAGAATCCTTCGGAAACAATCCTGCGTTCCGCCTCAGTCGTGGGAAAAGAGATGAAGTCTCTTGCCAGCGCAGCAATGGCGTGTGTGACCCGCTTGACGACTTGACACACAGTTGACTTGTGCACACCCCACAGGTCGCCTAAAACTACCTGGAGGTGCCTGTCGCGTAGAATCGAAGAGCGACCAGGAGCTGGTTGATGGGCGACAATGGGCAGTTGCGAAGGCCGTAGAAGGCGATGACGTGTTCGATTCGGCTCAGCCGCCGGATGGTAGCATTCTTGGAGAGTCGGAATCGCGTGATAAAATCTACGTCATCGTACCGGTAGAAGGGGTCGTCCCTCGGCCGTACCTGCCGTGGTCTGCCGCAGCCCTGGATCCAACGAACATCGATGGAATCTTGGTAATCTTCCTGGTCACTATCCCCCCCCCCCCCCCTAAAAAAAGTCGAATCGGCAAACATGTCGTCGTACAGTAACCATTCATATTTCGAGGAAGCACCTGCTAAAATGTAAATCGTGAAGTTGAAAATATTATTAAATAGAAATATGATATGAAATATATAACTAATGCGATACACAAGAACGTTTAAACATGTTTAAATAGTTTATTGTTCAAGCGAGATGTCTGCCACAATAAAAGTTCCAGTAGCAGACGTCGAGAATCAGCTGATCATTGCAATCGGACGTTGCTGCTAATCAAAACATCAATTGCAACGACTGGTCTCCGCTTCACGGCGAAGAATGAAAATACAAATATTTACACCTTGGACAGAAGATTCAGTAATCTTCCAAACTAAATACTTTCGATCGTGTACATACGCTGATTAGATCAAACACGAGTCGTGCAAAAAACAACAACCTACTTATGTGACCTGTCTCCGTGATCCCCGCTTTGCCCGGTTAAGGGGTTTAAGGAGCGCGTGCCCGGGAGAAATCCCGGGGATTTCTCCGCGAGGCTTTTGCACGTCTCAAAGCCTAACGTTTTCGTCGTAGGATGCGCGTGCCGGGGAGAAATCGCCTGGATTTCTCCGTCGTGTGAATCCCCTTTAGGGCTAACGCTCATTTTTAGTCGAGAGCGTATTTAAACATAAGGGTCAATAAGCACTTATCGTGGCCATATTTCGTATCCTTGGCACAATTGAAGATCATACTCTGGTCATCGTTACACAGTTGCAGCCTAAAACACACTTTAGGACCCCTTTTGTCCACCGCGTTGACCGCAACAAACCAGCCGCCATGTTTTAAATCCAGGATTAAGAAACAACCAAAAACTAAGCGCCCAATGTTGAGTGCTCACAATAAGCGTAGTTTAGAGCTAGGTTTAGCGATAAGCGATTTTGGTGCAACCGAACGAAACCGAAACTTAGCTTAGGTTCCCGGCTAAGCTCCGCTTTGCGCTAAGCGGCGTTGGTGCAACCGGCCCTAAATAACACTGAGTGTACTGCACGTTCAAAAGGCTGTTCAAAGTAATTCCACGTTTTACTCACAGAGAAGCTACAGCCTCAACCGCTACGGAATGCAATTTATGTTCACTATCGATTTGATACCTTAAAGGGATACTACAACGAAATTTTGGTGCTCATTTTTTGGTCTATATGTGTTCAAAAATGCACCATCAAATCGAACATACCAATATCTTGTTAAAAAAGTCACGAAAAGGAATTTTAAAACGAATTAAACGATTAGCAAAGAGCACCTGGTGGATGTCGCTAATGCCTCGCTTGTAATGCCCGTCTAGCAACCTTGGCAGCTAGTGACGGAGGTTGTCTCGCCTCCGGCCACGACGAGAGAAGAGGGGCAGGAGGAACTCCCCTCTTCCCGAGATTAATGCCTTTTGTGTGTCACAGAAGTCGCTATTGTCCCCCTACAAGATTACAGAAGATTAACCCGTCGCTCAAAATTTGTACAAAAGCAGCCGCTTCGGTGGCTGGAACGACTAGGCCATCCTCTCGACGTCAGCCTCGCCGTAGCTTTGCTCGTCTTGAAACGACCTACGTCACGATTGCGTTGGATGTCACGTGGTCTCCGCTGGGCCTTCTCCGAGCGCTTGCCAGAGTGGGCCGTTTATAACGAAAAATACAGCCGTCAGGCTCAAAATACAAACGTGCGATTGTCATTTACGGATATTGTGGATCATATTCAACCTATTTTTTAACACGACGGGAATATTTCAAATTTCGTTGAAGTATCCCTTTAAAGGGATACTAGAACGAAATTTCGGCGCTTATTTTATGGTCTATACGTATGTGTTCAAAGCAGCAGTATCACATCGAACACACCAATATCTTGTTAAAAAAGTCACGAAAAGAAATTTTAAAACGAATTAAACGATTAGCAAAGAGCACCTGGTGAATGTCGCTAACGCCTCGTTTGTAATGCCCGTCTAGGAACCTAGACAGCTGGTGACGGTGAGTGTTTCGCCTCCGGCCACGACGAGAGAAGAGGGGAAGGAGGAACTCCCGTCTTCCCGAGAATCCCTTTTGTGTGTTCCAGAAGTAGCTGTTGTCCCCCTACAAGATTATAAAAGATTAACCCGTCACTCAAAATTCGTACAAAAGCAGCCTCTTCGGTGGCTGGAACGACTAGGCCATCCCCTTGACGTCAGCCTCGCCGTAGCTTTGCTCGTCTTGAGACGACCTACGTCACGATTGCGTTGGATGTCACGTGCTCTAAGCTGGGCCTTCTCCGAGCGCTTGCCAGAGTGGGCCGTTTATAACAAAAAATACAGCCACCAGGCTCGAAATTCAAACGTGCGATTGTCATTTACGGATATTGTGCATCATATTCAACCTAATTGTGAACACGACGCGGATATATTTAAAATTTCGTTGAGGTATCCCTTTAAGGCGAATGAACGACTAGAAGCCAGTGCAATCATTTTGCTTTCAAGTGTAAAGCTTCAAAGCGTTGGGTTCACGCTCCTGGCCTTCACTGGAAGATCAGCATGGGAGAGGTTCGGAAATATTCGCGTGACGTAAAGCTATTTGAATTACAAAGATCAAAGTCTCCTTGATATGTTCAACCACGTGCGGAAAAAAACAAAAAAAAAAAAGAACACTACTATATTCTACTTTTTTTTGTAGTTTCCTTGAACTTCAAGCTGAGCTTCTCAAGCAGCTGAACGAAAGGTTCCAGCCTCTTTTAGTTGACAAACTCTTCATCGTAGCAAGCATGCTCAACCCAAGGCAAAAGCTGAGAATCTTCCAGACAACGCTCGCGGAGTGTGTACACAAGCCAACAGAGGGAGATGCGGTGGGAGCTGTGAACAAGCTGCTCAACGATTTAGAAAAGGTATCATATGTTTGCATCCTTTCTACTCTGTTCAGTGAGTTGTTGCATGATTTTATGTTATTACAGTCGAAAAAGCGCCCGAGCCACATAAACGTGACTGAGAAACTAAGAAAAAGAAAAAAAAAAGGACGAATCCTTGCCATCGCGAATAAGGCGCGTTCACACCGGCGATGCAATCTAGTCGCGCGATAACTGTCATCGCAAAAGCGACCATTGCGGGCGAAAAGCGACGCGATTTGAGCAGTTGCTACTCGACCCGCCTTTTTTGCGACGCGATCTAGTCGTGGAGCGGCTGAGCCAATCAAGGGCGTTCGGAGCGAGAGTTTTCGAAAAGCGACTTGCCAACGAAGGCCAGTGGGAATGCACCTTTAGATCTAACGCTAACTGGTACTTGGATTTGGAAGCCACATTCTTCGATCATATTCAGCGCATGAAACTGGAATACTCGATAGGCTTCGGAAAGTATTCGAAAAAGTAACCATTGCTCTTTTAAGTAGTGTCCAGTGACTTTCGTGGCCCAAATAACAGCGAGTAATTGTAAGTCTAAAAAAATGGTTTCAGTAACATGTACAATAGTGAGTGACGAGCCGTACTAGAACAAGGACTATATTGCAAACGTAACCTGATCAAGAAAACTTTGCACTCTCGATCAGTCACTCAACACTGATGTAAAAGTAGGAAGCTTCCAAATTAGGTGTTCGTTTAGTGTTCCGACGTGGAGCGGCAGTGCCGTCCAGTACTTTGGTCGATACAAGTGCCTGTAAAAATGCTAAATGTTATTAATGCTAGAGTAACCTTCCTGGAGCGACGTAGATAATTTTATTTTTGACCAAGTCAGATTTACAGGAAAGGCATCCGACATAAGAAACCCACCTGCATGTTGAAAACTTTTGTGCGTGCAGCCTTTGCTGAAACTTTCTTTTCTTCCTTTCTTAGGATCCTGGTGTCGCCAGTGTTCCTCAACCTGTTGCTTCCACCAGCAGCAGCGGCACGCAATCAGGAGCTGCTGTTACTGCTCCACCGCTTTTGGATGCTCATGATATGAATGAGGTTTTGTACCTCATTAGCCCAATTCAGACGGTTGGACAGTAGTCTGAGCAAAATGCTTATCTAAAAACTGAATATTCAAACGAGAAGATCCTGCAATTCTGGAGAAAAAAAATGAGACAAACTATCCGAAGCTCGCTCAGTTGGCAGCAGCTTGCATAGGCATTCCCGCATCTTCTGGAGCAGTAGAAAGGCTGTTTTCTACGTCCGGTTCCCTTCAAAGAGCGCGGAGAGCGTCCCTGAACCCGCAAACAGTTGAACAGATGGTAATGGTGCCTGAGAACGTGAGAGCTAATCAAAAATAGAATTCAACGTCGAATATGAACATCACTGTTTTAAAGTCGTGTTATCGGTTCATACAATTTATTATGTTTTTTTTTTTTCGAATATGCGAGTGTTTGTGTTTGTGAATAACCGAAACAAAATCAAATGTGCCAAAATATCTTGCTACTTGAACAATTGTTTTCCTATATCTCCAATAGGATTTTATATGCTCCTATAACTTTTTGGCACAAGTAAGTAATCTTCAACGAAGACCCGATTTCAAGTACCCTGTTTTAGGTCCAAGGCTCTCTGCATGCACAGGCGCCTCGCCTACAAAAGTTCGAGCTCCACGCTCTTGCACACGCGCGGAGCTCAAACCTGGCGTGTGCAGCAAGCACGAGCTTGTTTGTTAGCGAAGCAGAGTAGAGTAGGTTTAAAGGTCCCTTACAGTAAATTGATACCAAATTTTGACTTTACTAAATAAATGCGGCATAGTGAGAGTCGGGCGAACTGGCAGAAACGCAATTATAACAATCAACTTTCGAAAATAAGATCTGACGTATTAGTCAAAAATTTTGGTTTTTGTAGCCAGTTAGTCGGAGAAAGAAATTCACTGATTCGATCATGCCCAATGTGCCAGGCCAAAAGTTGTTTTGCACTTATCGCTAATCTACAATTGAGAGAAGTCGCGCTCTCGACGACTGATAACGGAGTTAACGATAAGACTGATGGCGCAGGAGGGCTGGTATAGATTTACCATTTTTTTTAACCACCCACTAATTACACCTATCTAGGATTGTGGACATCAGGGCGATACCAAGTAATCTTCCTCGAGGGAGGAGGGGTTTGTGCTCAGGATGTTTATATATAAAGAGGATTTGCTGATATCTTCAGGCATTAAAAAAGAATTGCCCCATCAAATTTTGAAGATTAGACAGATTTTGTTTTGCCCACTTGTGTACGGTCCTGAATAGCAAGGAAAAGGGCTTCATTTTCACTTCAGTGCGCATAGACCTCCACAGATTGCGTTTTATACCAAGTTTCGTTAGAGAGATATAAGGTGTCATAGCCTCATAGGACAAATACACCAAGTGCGCATGCACACAAGGCACGAGGGTCATTCACAGAAACAAGCATGCGTATACAGGCACATCGAAAACAAGCATACCGAGAACACGAACAACCCAATCACGTGAGAGTACCATCGGAAGACAAAAAACTAACGTTTACAACTACTTTCGATGATTTTAAAACTCTTCCAACTACCCTCAATAAGTGCCACTAAACTCCGCCACCACTAGCCTGCACAAAGACAGATGTGCATCGCAGTCACCATATCAAAACTGAATAAAAGGTTAAAAAGCGCAAACAAACGAGGACAATAAAGAAACACGGACGACAGGACAGGCGCTTCTACGAAGCGCCTGTCCTGTCGTCCGTGTTTCTTTATTGTCCTCGTTTGTTTGCGCTTTTTAACCTTTTATTCAGTAATGGACCAACTAGCCCAAACCCAAGTTTTAATGCACCATATCAAAAATCACAATCCAAACATGCTCGATCACACAAGTCTATCAGCGCGCCGCGCATTCGCACCGCTGCGGCAGGGCAGAAGACACGCGAAACTTACGAAAACGCCAATCAACGCGCCCCTGAGACGCATTTAAGAAACGGTTTAGTCACGTACAGGACAAAAGGCAGGGACGTTCCTCAGTCTTTCCGCCTCCAACGCGAGTTTCCTACCTTTAGGAAGTTCGTAGACCGCGTTTCCCCCCCTCTGCTAAGCCCTCCGCAACGAAGCAGCCGCTACTGCGCTGGCGCGCCGATGGCCTTGACTGCGGAGTTCCGGCTAGCGTAGCAGGTTGCAGAGGAGTTGCGGGACAGCGGAAACGGTCTACGAAAACTCGATTTTGACAACACTACCACAACAACGCTTCGCGGAGTCTCGTGAGCTTCGCGAACGAAGGTAGTTGGTGTGGCGAGCACCAATGAAAGCGAACAGCGCCCCCCTCCCACCTTCTTGCAGCGTAAACACTTTCCCGTCGGTCCGGCCGCGCTCTCCGGCCCCCGTCTCATGAGGGAGTTTTAGGGTTTTAGTAGGCCGTGTTTCCCCCTCCGCTTACCCTCCGCTACGAAGAAACCGCCAGTGCGCCTGCGCGCCGATGGCCTTGGCTGTGGAGTTCCGGGTAGCGAGGGGGAAACACGGTCTACTAAAACTCGCTACCGTCACATACGACTACGAGGGGGCAGCGAGCCGGCGCCAAGGCGGCGGTCACTAGCGTAGCAGCTATAGTCAGTTACAGGTTAAGAAGGTAGCGGCAAATGCCCCTCAAAGGGAATCGGATATCCCTCCGCCACCTCCGCATCCAACAGCATCCCACCGTTTCCGTGACGTCGCGGCCAACGCGCGAGGAGGGTCTTGCGTTTCTGTACATATTTTCTTTATCTTTCGACTTTGACTTAGCATTGTGGAAGCCACGAGAGGGAGATTAGAGTTCTCCCCTACCGACGGAAACAAATACGACCTTCGGGGATTAGCTTCCCCCCCGACGGATATAAAGGCTGCTTTCAGGGGCTCGGTTCCCTCTCCGATGAATACAAAGGTCGCTTTCTTAAAAAGTGGGATCGGAGACAAGTGGGAATCCATTGAAGCGGGACAAGGAGGGTTTCCAGTGAACTCTTCTTTCGACTGCGGAGAGATTTGAAACGGGCGCATCACACTTGTGGGAGGAGCTTCTCCTACCTTCTTGACTTGTAACCGACTATAGTGACCGCCGCCTGCTACGCTAGCAGTTCCGGCTAGCGTAGCAGGCGGCGCGTCGAGTACGCGGCGCAGCCATATATCGTTTCCAAAGAGACGAAGCCGCCGTCACGAGCAGGCGCACCTTATCCGGCGCCGAGACCATATCACGTGACCTGCCAGTTCCGTGCGGCGGCGCACGGAGCACATTCACGTGACACGATAGCAGCGCGGCATTGGCTGGGTTGGCGCTCTATCAATGTGCCTTTGCGTCTTGCGCACTCGAAATACCCCACTTCCCCGACGGAGTCAGGTCCTGGTTTCAAGTGGCTGACACAAAAAGGCGCCACAGTCCTATTCCGACTCTACAGTCCTATTGCGAAAAACTGTTTTTTTTTTTAGACTTCCAAAAAGCATTCGACGTAGTCCCCCATAAATTATTATTGCAAAAGTAATGTCTACTAACCTTCCTGATTGTCTTTTTAACTGGATTTTAGACTATCTAAAAAATAGAAAAAAGGCAGCTCTGGTCAACAGGAAAGCATCAACTTACGTAGACGTAACGTCGGGTGTCCCCCAGGGGTCTGTGCTGGGGCCTCTTCTGTTTTAGTGTATATAAATGATATTGCTGTTGGTACTGGATCAAGTATTCGCCTCTAAGCAGATGACTGTGTCATATATAGTAATATTAGGACTGAATCGGACTGCCTGGCTTTGCAAGAAGACATTAATAGAATTTCACAGTGGTGCGAAAAGTGGCGAATGAAGCCTAGTATCCAGAAATGCTCCCAGATGACGTCCACTAGGAAGCGCCAGCCAGTAACTTTTGCGTACTCGATCGGCGGCGTTCAACTAAAGAAGGAGGAAGTAGTAAAGTATCTAAGTGTTAAATTTTCTCATAATTTTCATGGAGCCCACACATCGACTTCGTCGCGGCCAAAGCCAACCGCATGTTAAACTTTTTGAAACGTAATTTCAGGGACTGTCCCCATACTGCGAAAGCAACTCTTTTTAAGACTAACGTTAGGCCGAGACTGGAGTACGCCAGTGTCCTGTGGGACATAAAAGAGAGTTACTTGGGGAAAAAAATAGAGCAAGTACAGAGCAGGGCTGCGAAATTTGTCACAAGAAACTACAATTACAGAGAAAGTGCTACTGCTCTTAAAAGGCAATTAGAGTGGGAGCCGCTTTCCTCCAAAAGAAGACGTCTTCGTTTGAAGTTTCTTCACGCAATTTACCATGATCAAACCGGGATTAATAAATCAAAGTTTATTCAACCCCCCAACTTCGTATCTAGGAGATTAGACCACTCGAAAAAATAAGGTATGGGCAGCCCGAACCAACGTTCATAAATATTAATTTTTTCCGAACACTATTAAAGAGTGGAACGCCCTGCCAAATGACACCGTTTCTATCTTGTCAAACTCACTTTTCTTTGACAGACTGTCACGTGACAGCTGTTTAGACTAACATGTCTAGGAAAATGTTTTGATCCTTGCGATGCGAATTTCGAGTGATTACTGGGCGTGATACCGTTGTATGTTTAGTTGTTCCTACGTCGAATATTTTATTACTCTTTGAACGAAGTTGATAAAACAACATCTGTGTATGTGATTTGTTTTACTCCTGTGTCACGCAACAAGTGATAGCTATTTAAGTTTGCTGTTACGGCATATTTTCCTCAGCTGATGCTTTTATCTGGCACGTACC